GCATAGGCGGTATACGTAGATCCAGGAGATCACACAGGCGGTAGATCCAGGAGATCACACAGGCGGTAGATCCAGGAGATCACACAGGCGGTAGATCCAGGAGATCACACAGGCGGTAGATCCAGGAGATTTCGTCTAAAATATTGAGATCTTTGGAATACATCCTGAGATTTTTCCATTTTCAACAAAGCTGGGGGTCATTATGATCCGCTATGTAACAGAGATGTTTTTGACAAAATATTGGATATGTACCTCTAAGCTATAAACAGCCAGAGAGATTAGTCCAAAGTGCTCTGCTCATTCCAATAATAATCTGCTCGCTGTTTTATGTAGTTTGCCATACATTATACCATGTGCAATTGTCGTGCAATAAAGTTCTTCAAAATATGTTTTATTTCCTTCTAGGTTTTCTGGCGGCCTGCCACTGTTTCCTGCTGGGCGCCAGTTCCCGCTCCATCTGCACACGTTTCTTGGGCGACACCAGCAGGGTGTTCTCCCGCCGCGGTCTTCCCGGCTTCCTGTGCGCGCTCCTGTCTGCAGTCATAGGCGCGCCCGCTGGAGGGAGCCCCAGCTTCTGTATGGAGAATATTTGAGAGTGTGATAAATGAAGTCAACAAATGTATTAATATGATCTTAGTTACAACTTCTCACAACAAAATAAAAACTATTTTATCAGTGAAGAGGTTCATTAGTCAAGTAAAATTAACGGATAGTAGAACATTCATCAATCAGTGACTGTTTTGAAATGTAAAGTTTTGTGACGTGTAAGATGAAAACAAGATGGCCGACCGATGACGTCACATTATGGCGGTGCCTATGGTGGAAGAGTAAAGAATAAAGAGTACGTAACTTTACATAATTATACAAACGATGCAGTACAAACAAACAAACAACAACGAAATGTCTTCCTTCTGACCTCGATCTCTTCCGTAGTGACGAAGATAGGAAGGACGTCGTTGGACGGGCAACATTTCTGTTTGCAGCAGCAAAAAGCGCCCCCTATGAACAGCGCCAGAGTTAGCGCACACAGGGTGGGCGGAAGAAGGGTCCACATGGGGTCTACAGGGGCATCCTCAGACGCCAAGTCCACACTTCCATCGGACAGACCTACAAGAACAGAAACGACTTTGTATAATATCAAATCAAAAGGTAAGAAGGAATGAAATTCAATAGTTAACACAACTTTCCAACCAACATCTGCTTGGATCTTAGACCCTCCGATGATACAGACACCGTGAGCAAACGCAAACAAACAAACAAACAAACAAACAAACAAGCAAACAAACAAACAAGCAAGCAAACTTTGCACATGTCTGTTTGTGGAGACCTACCTAGAGTCGGTGAATCAGCAGCTGTGTCGCAGGTGGCACCCGTAAAATCACCTGTACATGTGCAGCTGAAGCTGTCTTGCGTCACCTGGCAGGTACCACCATTCAGACAGGGATTGTTGGAACAGGCATCGGGTACAGAGACTGTGCGTGTACAGCGGTTGGGTTAGTGATGACATTTGTATGACAAAAACTACTCATTGTAAGGGATATTAAGAGTTACGGAAGGTCCTTCCAAAATAAGTTGCAATTTTCCTTACATTGTTATGGCAAAATGAACATTGGCAGTTTTACAAATAGAATATATACGTGTTTTTAAAGATTCACAACAAAGGACCTTCGCTAGACTATAACATTTATAAGACTGTACTCAAAGACAACATGGGGCACCGCCCTGCCCTCACCCTATCACCCTAATTGTCCCTATCAGGCCGAATAAATAGCCGAATGTTATTTTTACCACAGTGGGCCGCTCCTAATCCGGCTCGATTTAGTGACAGTGAAGAAGATTGACGGATGTCACTCCAAAAGTCCGGAAATTAACCCCGTAATTTATCCAGTTGTGCAGTATGATTTCTCTTTAGTAGTAGTAGTAGTAAGCCTTTATTTCAACTCGAAAGCTTGTTCTGTACATACATATGACCGCTTTTCAACAAGATCGAGGGTGAGGGCGGGGTCACGGATTACAAATCAAACCAAAAAGATATAATACAAAAATGAATAGTAAATTATCAGTCCATTATCAGTTCGTGTGCCTTATCATACTCCTAAAAGTTCCCAATGACTGGGCATGTGGTGGCAAGGAGTTCCACACAGTCGCGCCCGAGTACCTCAGTGACCGCCTGTACACTTCCAGTTGGGGCCTGGGTATGATAAGGTTGTCCGATGTGCTCTGTCTGGTGGATCTGGTGGCTTCATCTCTGTACTGGATGAAAACCCCTTGCATATGTTTGAATATTGTTTACCCGAATGTAGACTAGTTTGGAAGACAACACCCACCTTGCTGACAAGATGGTCCCTCCCGTCCATCAGCACAGCCTTGTGCGCATGCTCCGGTGTAAGGGTCACATGGTTGGTTGTCTCGACAGTGACACTGCTGTGTGCAGCCCGCGCCAAAACGTCCCGGCGTACAGGCTGCAGAACGGGACACTGCATGAAATCAGCTATTTAAGCAGTCTTAAAGCATGCTTAAAGGTTCCGTTTTAGCACACTTTAAGCAAATTTAAGCAATCTTTACGCGTGTATGAATATTACTTTTAAGCTAGGTTTAAGTTTGTGCGTAAAGTGCTTAATGGCACTCTTTTAAGTAACATTTAAGCACCGTAAAGTAAGCTTAAATAACAAAATCCAAAATAATAAGGGAAAATCCATTTTATTCCCTTTTTTCGACTTGAGATTCAGAAAATAAAGTTTTCAATTTCACGGAATTGCAGTCGTTTTGGCTGGTTATTTAGAAATCCAAGAAACTCATATCTAGATATTCAAGATGTCTTGAGTCAATTTCCTCATAGAGAGTTTTAATGATACGGAAGGGGTGATCTGATAGTGTGTTTGAACTCACGTGACTGTTACGTAAGCCGCCATCTCGTATGGTTAACCTCAAAGTTGCCGGGTAAATAGGAATCTAATTTTTACCACGTAGTTATGGTATTATGCAAACTTGTAAACTTCAAAACATTCATGATGAAACATAATGACACCAAAAAGGGGATGGAAACAAAGTTTTATTACATATTGTGTCTGTGTCGACCCACATAAGGAACCTAAAATGCAATGCAGTTAACCAAACTACATGAATCGACAACGTAGAAGCTGTTTTTGTACACTAAGGCCATGTTAATTTGACCATATGGATGACATACTCTGGCAACCCCAAAACCTATATGCGAGCGTGCGAATGAAAAAAAAAGTTTTGCCAGAAAAAGTTATTATTATGAAGTCTACGTGTTCATGAAGGTTGAACAAATTCATTTATTTACATTTTCGTTTTTTCTTTTGGTTGTTGTATTCTACGACATTGGTATTGTTTGTTTGTTTATTATTTGCACAGCAGCAATAAAAAATTATACAGAATAAATTAATAATGAATAAAACAGGTGCAGGAGGAGGAAAAAAGCTTATTTAGCTTATGCTAAACCCTCCTCCTCTATACTAACCAAAAGTAAACATAATTGAATTAAAATAAGGCATACATACATAACGAATTGTTATCAAAATAATTCAAACATGGGCAAAATGATACAATAGCAATAATGATTACAGTAGTATACATAAATTGAGATGAAATGAAATTGATATGGTATCGTTGTCAAATATTTTTTATGCAACTTACGGTATACATTTGCTTATTTTTCAAGTCTTTTCTACGATTTACAACGTGTGGCTGAAAAGCATTTTTTTTGGAAACGGCCGAAAATTCATGCGCGTACGGATGTCATCCATATAATCAAATCAACATGGCCTTACCTTCAGTACAGTCGATCCCGGTAAACCCTGTTGCGCATGAGCAGCCCTGGGGGTCTGGAACACAAAAGACACGACCTGCGCATGCTCCATTATCATCGTTGGTGGCGTCACACCTAAAGGAACAGTCTCGACCAAATCTGTTACCGCCACACCCTGAACAAATGTAAAGTAAAGATGTAAGTTGCAACTTACGGAAAGGGTGTAATATGAAAGACATTTTATTTAAGAGATTACATCTGTGTATGACAGGTTTCCTACAAAAGGGAATTGCGGTCCAATTGGAAAATGTTTTGGAAGCTCAGTCAAAATCTTCTGTGTTATTCACAAAGAAATAATGATAGGAATCTAAATGTCTTGGTGGCGTAGAAAGCCATTACTTTTCTGTCCTCAAACCATATTCTCTGAGGACCCCAAAACTGATGCGAGTGTACGGATAAAAAAAGGTGGCAAAAAAGTTGCTTTCATAGTGAAATCTACGTGATTTTGAAGGTTGAACAAATGGCACAGATTATGGTATGGCAAATAATAAACTGTTCAAATTCAAATTTCTTCACACTTTCGTCTTTTTTGTTTGATTTTGACATTCTACGACATTGGCCTTGTTTCCATTTTTAAAAACTTATATTTGTTTATTTTGCAACTGTTTTGTACGATTTACAATATGGTTTTTCTTCTGGAAACGCCTGGGCAAAATCAGTTTAAAAATTCATGCGCGGGCGGATGTCATCCTTATAATCAAATAAACATGTGTATGGCTTTATCAGAACAGACGTATTAACCCTGAAGTTGCTTGGTATGTCTGTGTCTGTCTTACCCATCTCACAGTTATTTCCCATGAAGCCTGGCGCGCACGTACACTCCCCGGTGTTGTGGTCACACTGGCCGCCGTTGTAACAGGCCGGACAGTCCTCATTACAATTCTGTCCCCACTTGTTCTTCGGACATCCTAAAACAAGGAAGTGTAGTTCTGCTTTTTATACATCAATAAAGGTAAGGCCACACCAATTTGATTTGTTTTTTCTCGGATATTTTCCGAAAAAAAGATGAAGTGACATGGCAAAATAAAAAAAAAGAAAAGAACAGGCCAAGGCACCCCATGATAGCCGGAAATGTTACAATATGAGCCATGAAGTGACCATACCAGGCTGGTTTATAATTAAAACAATAGATCTTTTAACTTTTAATGAAACAAAATTGCGTTGTTACATAAAGGACTTTCTTCAACCGTTGGGGCCAAAATATGTATTTCTTTGATCATTTTGCAGTTGATTTAGAACAATTCTTTTTTGCAAATCAGACAAAAATGGACAGGGCAAATCCGAGAAACAACAAATTTCATTGGTGCGGCCTATTGAGATATAGACTGAAGAAAATGAGCGGATGCTACTTGAAATGTTTCCAAGACGTATCCAATTGCTTGAGTAACTTAAGCTTGAGTTTTGTTATCTACTTTTCATACACTTTGTAATATCCTCATTGCCATTGTCATTGCAATTGACAACAGAGCGAGGCAATTGTAAGTTAAGCCCACTTCTCAAATAAAAGAAACTATTAAGCATGGTAGTATATAGAGATGTTGTTGACCTTTAGTATAATAGGAATATCAAGAATCTAACAAATGTACAAAGTGGGAAATGATAGCAATTGGTCTATATTCTATTTAAAAATCTTGGTCATTATAGAAATTAAAGAAAAGTAGTACTATGGAAAAATAGACTGTTATTACATACACCAAATAGAATGGGACATACCTCAACTAAAGTTTAGAATAAATAGGGCATTCTGGTTTCTTGAACAATGTGATATATATAAATAAGACATGCACATTGTGTAAAGTTCATGGACGGATCATGAAAAGGAAAAAAAAGTCCACCTCTCACGATAAGACGGACAATCCCCTGGTTGCCTTCTCTTCGAGTAGACTCAGACGAGAAACACTCATAGATGCCCGCGTCTGCTGCCACCACGCTGTCAAACGTCTCCGCAATCTCAATCTGTGGAAAGGACGTGTAGACTAGTTAGACATTAGTTATAAATGCCTAAGCTAGCTTTATAAAGAAAGTGTTTGAAATTATTTTCCTAGAACGGCAAAAGCCTCTTTGTCAGATAGCATTAACATCGCGGCGCAGATATGCAAAGGTTTTTCGGTGATAACGGAGGCATAACGCCTGGCCGATGATCTTTAACCACAGGATAAACCACCGAGTGAGCGTAGCGAATGCATGTCGTTTATCTTTGCAATTCATATCAAACTAAAATGAAGGTTTAGATCTGTAACTGGTAAACATAGATGTGATGATGTAAGTAACGAGCTACCGCCGTCTGCCGGTGAAGTTGGTCTCCAAAGGGTGGTTATACCGGGCACGTCGTCAGAACGTACTGCCCCTACGCGAAACCACGTCTTGGGTAACGTTGCATCAGAAATTTGTCCGTTACATTCTAGTACTAATCTTTCCCGAAACATTAGAAAACTGTAGACGGGATGTCATCCTTGAATACGTTAACACGCCAAAACTATGTAGAAATGCCATGCACATTACGTAGTAGTAGTAGTAGTGTAGTAGTTGTAGTACATGTAGTAGTATTAGTGTAGTAGTAGTGTAGTAGTAGTAGTAGTAGTTAAGTGTAGTAGTAGTACATGTAGTAGTAGTAGTAGTAGTAGTAGTAGTAGTAGTAGTGTAGTAGTAGTGTAGTTGTAGTAGTAGTAATAGACTGGTTTGATAGTTCTAAGAAAAAGATAAACATGCCTCCTGGCAGCCATGGAGGGCTGAATTGTGAGGCTATTTACAAATGTCTATCAAATTATCATACATTAACAGTTGTCATCACTTAGCAAACAACCTTACAATTCACTTGTTCAACATAAAAATTCTAAAAACAATTGGTAATCTACAACAATGCTACAATATTTTGCATGTAACATTCTTCTCCTTTGTCAACACTTCATTTCAACGTCATTATTATGCAAATAGACATTAACATAATATATGCATAGTGCTGTTAATACACAGACACACACACAGGCACGCCAAAAATGATACCTCTATTTTTCATGGACAAAGACATAGGGAAGTCCTCACCCGCTCTGCTACATTCCCCCTGTTGAGTTTAATGACGATGAGGCTGCCGTCATGTTGCCAGCGGATGTTGACCTGTGACCTCCCTGACCCTGACAGCGCCATGTGTAATCTCGCCGAATCTCCGATGCTGGCGGTCACTGTGAACTGCGTCGAGAAAAACACCGCTGTCTCCGGAATAAGGCAGGACAATTCCCATTAATAAAATTCAAACAGTCATATGAAAGAGAAAAAATATCTGGACATTGAAAACTTCAGCTATCGCCGAAATTTTTTTTGGGAAATTATTAACACAATGAATAGAATAGTTTGGCCATCGTAAGTAAAGTAAAGTAAACAAGGTACAACAGGCTGAACTGAGCGCATTATGGTTTTTTTTTCGTTAACTATGAAGAGACAAATAGTTGTAAGATAAGCACAATCCTATTTCAATGTTTTTGAGGGAAATAGTAGCGCAAATATAAACACAACCTTTTTTCATGGCTTTCCTTTTAATCGCTCTTTTCTTCTAGGTCCTCTTTTATTGTTGCTTGGTTTGTCTGACAACGGGCAAACAGTTCCCTTTTTCTCCCAGTCTAGGCGCCAAGGTCAGCTTTTCCAAAAGCACCTATTTTTATTTATAATACGAGTAGGTATTACAAACACCTGACTGGCCAATGATATTACAGCCTCGTAATCAATACCAAATGGAAGGTCTTGATTAATCTATGTCCTCTTTAAGTTGCTGCTGCGTAAAGTTTGGTATTGCATATAAAAAACGAACTATCACCCCGTAATTCATGACGGGGTCAACATGTAAAGTAAATCGGTGAAGTCACATTGCGTTAAGACTGAAGTCGGAATGCGTTTAAACCGGTTTGAAACTACCCCTTGAGGTGGTTTGGAATCGAGGCGCTTTCAATACGATTTGGCTACTTGAATTCTGCTTCGGTATAACCTGGATCCAATGCGCTTCCAGCTCTTTCGTCTGAACAGGGCAAAAATATCTCTTGATTCTCACCTGAGGATAAGGTTTTGGCGGTTGAGACTGAAGCCGTCTGTCCGCTGCTGTCCGTCCCGCTACAGGTGAACACACCTGTCCTGTCTGCTCCACCTGCAGGTGAGAATGTCAGCATGCCACCTGGCCACGACTCCGGACCTGAAACAGATTGTGTGATGCCTTCAGAAGGAGCTGATCGGTAATCTCCAAGCAGATCCCTCTTGGTGGCAAAAATACAGTATCAAATTGGCCATGCAGTATCCATTAGCAAGAGAAGCTCCGCGGCCAAAAAAAACCCGGCCATATATAAAAATGTAACGATCATTCCCCCAAAACCTCTGCTTGGAGAGTACTGATCGGGGGAGTTCCCTTTTCATGTCTGTAGACAGGATTTTGGTTGGGGGGTTCTTCCTACTGTCTTCCTACATCAGAGTAAAAGACAAAACAATAAATCAGAGCCTTGTCTTGTCTCCTCTCTTCACATTTATCTGCCATCCACGTTTCAGTATGGCAACAGACATCTTTGCCTATTTACGGCATGCTGACCACCGTCAGAGGGCAACAGTTTTCTCCAAAATCAGGCGAAAATTAATGCGCGCGCTCATGTCATCCATAAAAATTACTTGCTATGGCCTAATGGAGTAACAAAGTATCACAAGTATCCCGAGACATCAGAACAATCTTTATTACACCTCTCCCTACGCCGACATACCTATAGTACTTGTGACAGCTGACTCCGGGATTACCCATGACCCTTCAGCCGTGAACCTGACGGAGTCTCCGCTGTTCGTCACACATTTCAGGAACGTCTGCGCTTCTGCAGTGACCACCAGGGGGCGCTCGTTCACAAGGGTGACGTCAGCTACTGCACCTGCAAATTATGTATAAAACCAAAATGTCAGCATTAGATGCATGTATAAACAGATGGCGCCAGTTTCAACGTAAACTTGTAAAATCCCAAAGGGCACCCAAAGACCGCAATATGACAAAGAAAGACAAGAAAGACAAAATACGGTGTATTTAAAGGAGGCCTACTAATCCCGCTTTATAGTCGAACGATCTACCACTACGCCACCCGACGTAATTGTCAATATATTAACGCACATTATTTGAAAAGGTTTACTTACCTACGTAACCAGCCAACTCTGTCAATACTGCAAACACCAGAAATAGAACTAATATTGGATCTACCATAGCTGTCTGAAATTTATCAATAGGCAACTAACGAACCGTTTGGACGACGATAATCACGTATAAACTGGCAAAAAGATCGGTTTAACATGTTGAATATTGAAACGACAAGTCCTAAAGGCAAATATATAAAGACTCATAAATACATCGCAACCAGCAAACTAAGGAAAACACAACAAGTAGTTTTATTCAAGAGGTGACGGTACAGCTAAATCTGGGGCTTACGTCGCTACCAAGAGCCGTTCACGGTTTGAAGTACCCTTGAGGGTATGTTTCAGAGCGCAGAAGTGTACTTCAGAGCACAACGAAGCGTTAAGAAGTCCTTTCCAGTGTTGAACTATATCACGGGGCCAGTAACATCCGGCTTTTAAGTACCGACATGTCTTCACAGCGAAATTAATGTGTACAAGGAGACTGAGCGGGACTAAAGCGAATGCAGCAGTCTTTAAGGCAATCGGAATGTGGCGTCTTTGTGTAATGTAATTCTGTTCTGTAATGTAAACATTAGGCCACACCGCCTTAATTTTATGGATGACATCCGCGCCCGCATTGATTTTCGCTTTTTTTTTTTTTTTAAGAAAAGATCACGTCTTCCAAAGCTCTGGCCTGGCTTTAGACCTGGGTAGTCCATGGTAGTTAGCGAAAACGAAGCCGGTGGTAACTCTGGAGGACGGCACTCAGGCTACCGAAGCTCCACGACTCAAGAACTAAGTACATACGTAGTGTCGATTCATAAATTCCGCAAAAATCCAGCATGTGCCGGCCTGTCGTATACGTCGCCAAGTAATCCGGCTTTGTATTTCTGTGGTTTAGTAGCATTTTTATTTTTGGTCGCATTTTCCTTTTTTTCCCGCGCGCACTAGTTTGGGGGTCTTTATAGGATGTCGTCCATAAAATTCAGTCTGTGTGGCCTTACCGTATAATTTAGTATGCTGCTAGTAATTGTTTGAATTATTTCTATACATTCTTTAGATTGTTCAAATTAATTGATTTGTCTTTTTTGTTCTGTGTATTTTTTCTTTTTAGAATTTGATATTATTTGCATTGTTATCTTAGCACTTGTCTATTTTCTATTCATTATGTATCTATTGCAGTATTCACAATTTTGTTGAATCTATGGTTAACACTTGTATCTAGATCTGTTCCTGTTTTATTCTAACATGTAATCACAAGACGTGGTGACGGCACACTTAGCTTACATTAATCCCGCCACCAACACAGGGGCTGTACAATCCTTATTTTTACCTCAGCGAAGTGAGGAAAGTTGTGTGTAAAATGCCTTTCCCAAGCGCACAAGATCGGTGCCATGTCAGGACTCTTTCCCGGGACCTCTTGGTTCCGGGGCGAGCACTCAGCCGCTACGCCACCCTGTCCCACAATTTTTCTATTTCTTCTCCATTTACATGTAATACTATGTATGTATTGTCTAACTGAAGTGAAATGAAAATATTCATTACTGTGTATTTTTTCAGCACCCCTGTGGAAAAAAAGGACATACGCATTGCCATGTTATATATGTTGCCAAATATGACATGCGGGAGGGAATGTTACAAAATACATCAGTCTCGTGCGTGTCGGGGTAGATCGAGGCTGCATTCTTGAACCGATCCGCAAGATGGCGCCGCTGTACGGTCATGGCGGTATAGCTTGAGGGGTCGCTAAATATACTCCATTGTTCCTATCGACGAGCGGTATTCTGCAAAAAGGATTTAAATCGAAATCCCAGGAAAAGAATGCCTCAGGAATATACTGAACAACACGTCAGACAAACGACACGTCATACACTGCGCCTCCGCCGCCGCAAACATGTTACTAAAAGCAAGGAGATACACATGGTACCTCGTTGGTGAAAATCTGCAAAACTCGTCAAAAAAACACATACATACGTATATATACAAACAGAGAACTCTATGGCAATCACTCCATATCTTTATTTGCAATCAGATACAGACGCATGTACAGATACAGATTCATGTACAGATATACAGATACAGATTTTCCGAGTAGGATGACCGTGTCAGTCCCTACACCTGAGTGAGGGTTACAGTTGACACGGCGGCCTTCGCGTGGATTTGTTTAAGGTGGATAACAGGTTGCGAATCTGAGACCCACACACTTGGGCATCCGTCTTCCCCAGCGGATCCACATCGAGGGAGACGTGCTGGTTCCGGTTGGGATGCTTGCAGCGAGCTGCCGGATGACTTGGTTACGCTCAAGGTCCGCCTTGACTACGCCAGCCCGCCTGGCGCTGCTCTTGAAGACAACTGCCGTACGTTGGAGACAGAGAACTACCGAACATGTATATTGCACAAATTGTCACCTTTGATCACTTACAATAACAAAAGTAAGTTAGCGTTTCCGTTTCAAAGTGAATTATGTTAACGTTGTTGTCCTTGTTTAAAGCTGATATCTCGTTAAACGTGGTCTCCTGGTTTACGCTAGGTTCAGTTCTGAGTCAACATTTCTCTCTAGCTGGGTATTTAACTCTTGTGCGTGCGTGATGCTGGAAGTGTCTCTAGGAGAGCACGTCGAGTCGGTGCGTACTCTCGATGTACCGAGAATTCTAAAATGGCATTCGCTAACTGTCGCGAAGGCATGGCGACCTTTGATATTTTACAATATGAGATTATGAATATGAATTAGTAGTTGTATTATTGTGGATTCAGATTCCATGGCCAGCGTCGGTTGTAAGGAGAGAGTGTAGTTTCACTATAAAATCAGTGTTAACAGATAGAGGGCACATATGAAGTAGCCAACGCCACACTTTGAAGATCCGTATCGAGCCTTCTCGAGGTATTTTTTTTTTATTATTGGTAAGGCCACACCGACTTAATTTTATGGATGACATCCTCTGAAGACCCTCAAAGTAGTGCGCACGGTCGAATAGAAATAATTTCGGTCAAAAAGTAAAAATGCTACTAAACCACAGGAATACGAAGCTGGTATTGCGAATTTGCGTCACTGAATGCCATCCAGTAGATTTCCAGTGACGACTGACTTATGAATAATTTATCAAGGCCCACGGACCTGGTTCTTTCACTTGTAGAGTAGCCAATTACCACTGATCCGGTGGCACACGATGGGCGAAAACACGTATTTCACTCCCCCATTGTTCGTCGATATAAAGCGGTTATACACACTGTACAACGAGAATTTTCGTAGCACTTTCATTACTTTAGTTTACAGCATGTGTATTGAGAACGGGTATCTTCATAATTCTGCTGGTTGTTTGTAGAAGAACGGCTCAATGAAACAGTTTTCAATACCATGGCGACTTAGCAGATAACACGCAATGCTTGTTGTCTGTCATTTCCCTCCATTTTTGTGTTTGGCGATGGGTTGGGTTTGCTTCATGAATCTCGGCTTCGCTAAGATCTGTGTGTGGAAAGGGTCATCAGTAGACAACTTTAGGACCACAGGTGCAAGAACAGATGGGCCCGGGCCTAGCCCGCTTTGCAGCCGCTCCGGGAGCGGTTGGCTTTTGAAAACAGGATAAAGAAATAAAGAAGCCATATTATGTATCAAAATGTGAGTTGCCGACAGCACGCCCTACATACAGCACGCCCTACATACATACTAATAGACACTTACGCTCAATTAAACACTAGCTGTCGGTAACAAAACAAAGGGAAGATGGAAAGACTTATGAAGGCACCTCTGTACCAGAGGCGCTGACATACACGTGTACCTACAGTCACGTTTCAATAAGACGGAAAGACTCATGGCACTCCATAACCAGGGACGAAGACACCCATCCTGGACTTGTGCGCATCTTGAAATAGTATCCGACGGGCTAGAAACGTCAGTTGGACATTATATGCCGTGACGACAAAATGAACTTTTACTCGTCTTTTTGTAAGATAAATTTAGCTGCGGATGCAGAAATCTTTGAAATAAGAAGTCATTGGCCTACTAACCTCTGTGTTAGCTCATACAACGAGTCAGCACAAACCCATTTAAAGTTTAATGACCCTTTGCTTCAAAAACCGTCCCAAGTAACTCGGCCAGAGTGGAAAAGGTCATCAGTAGACAACTTTGCGATTCCAGGTGACATCTTCCCCCACTACTATTTCAACAAAACATTGAACACAAGAAAACCTACCAAAAGAGTAGAAAACCCAAACACCATCCAAGACACAAGAGGTGTGCTGGTCACGAAACTTGGTGAAATAAAGAAGTGACCAAAAACAGATTTCCATTCTCTTAGAAGGTAACGAATTGATTGTAAACGTTTGCAAATATGAACTTCCCTTCTACAAAGAATTGGTAGTAGATATAGTCTGTCATTCAATACAGCAATACTGTAATATCTATTCTGTCATGGGCCTTCTAAGCCTTGTGTCATCACAAAACTGCTTGAGTTTGCAGGTTCACTGACCCTTTGTTTCGTAAGCCTTTTTGTACATGTTGATGTCTTATATGTTTTTGTCATATGATGAAGTGTTCTGAATAGTACTCCACTATTCAGGACACTTCATCATATGACAAAAACATATAAGACATCAACATGTACAAAAAGGCTTACGAAAGGCTCACTTCTTTATTTCACCAAGTTTCGTGACCAGCACACCTCTTGTGTCTTGGATGGTGTTTGGGTTTTCTACTCTTTTGGTAGGTTTTCTTGTGTTCAATGTTTTGTTGAAATAGTAGTGGGGGAAGATGTCACCTAGAATCGCAAAGTTGTCTACTGATGACCTTTTCCACTCTGGCCGAGTTACTTGGGACGGTTTTTGAAGCAAAGGGTCAATAAATTTAAGTGGGTTTGTGCTGACTCATTGTATGAGCTAACACAGAGGTTAGAAGGCCCATGACTTCTTATTTCAAAGATTTGTGCATCCATCCGCAGCTAAATTTATCTAACAAAAAGACGAGTAAAAGTTCATTTTGTCGTCACGGCATATAATGTCCAACTGACGTTTCTAGCCCGTCGGATACTATTTCAAGATGCGCACAAGTCCAGGATGGGTGTCTTCGTCCCTGGTTATGGAGTGCCATGAGTCTTTCCGTTCTATTGAAACGTAACTGTAGGCACACGTGTATGTCAGCGCCTCTGGTACAGAGGTGCCTTCATAAGTCTTTCCATCTTCCCTTTGTTTTGTTACCGACAGCTAGTGTTTAATTGGGCGTAAG